GATCTTTATTTCTTAGGCGGGTGAGGTTTTCATGGCGGGTCAAGGTGGCGATGTGCAGAATCTACAGTCATGGGAAGTCTCTGACATAGATACAACGGCGATCGAGGCTCATAATGGATCACGTTTGCGACAGCTAGGAGTCTCAGTGAAAGCGCGCGATATATTTCAAATGTATGAGGATTCGTTGGTGGTAGGGTCGCCATGTATCGTCGTGGTTTCGTGCGTATGCCCTCCAAGCGGCCATCGTGAGCATTTGGATGCGCTTCTCACTAAATATCTCAAGCACAAGCCAGACGCTGCCGAGAGACGGCTGGTCTATGAGAACATGACGTACGAAGCCATCATCGGTCAGTTGCCATCATCGGTGGTGGTATCAATCAGCAGGCGATGGGATACAATCAGGGCGAGTGGGTCGCCATTTCAGATTGCCTTAATGCGTCGAAGGATATCATCCCAAGATGTGTGCCGAATGGGCTTCAGGAGATGGGATCCCCACTATAGGCGATGGCCGAAACATGGTTGTCAAAATTTCGAGTGCAGGTTCAGTCGACCCAATGCATTTTGTCGGCGGTGATGGAAGGTTCGATTTGATTAGCATGTGCACGCTGGCAACTGTGAGTGGTTGGCGAGTACTGTTTGTGGGCGACGGCGATGGTGGACTTGCGTACAATTGTGGGAGGCAAGTGTCTGTAAACATCAGAGTGTGCGAGTGCATCCCCGTCCAAGTTCGCACAACGAGCGACGCCACCATGCATCAGAAGAGGCAGTTGGGTCGCGAAACTGGCTCGTACGAGGATTTCCACACTTACGCCAAAGACTACAGGATCAGTCAAATCATGGAGTCATTCCTTCACCGGCAGGACTCCGGCGAAACGTTGTGGCCACATGAGGGGCCATCGACTTCGATGCTGCAGCCGCATGCTAACCTTAACGCGGGGGTGATGTGGCTATTCGCATCGATTGTTCAATAAGTGCGCATTCCTGGTCACATAACACAGGTCACATAACACAGGACGAAACAGTTCGTTCAACAATTGCACGCTACTAAGTTTAATTGAGTACGGGGTGCAAGTTAAGATGACACGCAGTTGTTCAATCCGTATGTTTGGCCGATGTGCTCAGATCATGGCTGAGCCTGGTCAGCGAAAGGCAGACGTATTCCTTATGATTGGGAGTTGTGGTATGTTGTTCGATGATGGAGCTGCAGTGGCGTGTAATTCCTGAATCGGTTCGCTGCTATGGGACTCGCTGCTTGTATTGCGGTTCAGAATTTGGTGCCAGGGCATGCGCTGCGACAGGCAATGGCTTGGTGAAAGCTCTGATAATCAGAGCGGTGCGCTTGCTCTTTTTTTTTTCGGCGGCTCATGGTGTGCTCGTTGATCGTCGCAGAAGATAATAAGTCTCCTACCAAACTGATGCAGTACTCGGAACAGTTCAGCGCCTGGTTCCAGAAGAATATTTCCTCCTTGGGTCCGCACCTCAGGGCCGTGGCGAAGCCGTCGGCCTCAGTTTCGAGAGCGGCCAGCTGCCCCTGGCCAGATGCGCGTTGCATTTTCCAGCTCTCATCGCCGCTTTGGTCCAGGTGGCCAGGACACGTCAGAACTCAAGTGCGGAGGCCAAGGCTGTTAGCAACGTTGTTCGATCAGTGGGGCTCAAAGAAGTTCAAGACTCTGCAGCTTGCAATGTTTGCAGACGCTGGAGATGAGCACTATCACTTGATGAGGCACCTAGACTACGAGAGGTTCCCGGCTGACGACCTGTCCTTCAACGCGAGCGCGTTCGTCGCACGCTGTTCGGGGTCGGCGGCCACCCAGCAGTGGCCGCGTAGACGGACTGCGCGCTCACTGGGCGCATGCTGAAGCTGATCAAGCACCCCATCATGCTTCCAGGCGCTGGCGTACGTGCGTTGGACTGTCCAAACGGCGCGGCCCCAGCTGTGCAGACGAGATGCCTCAAACGCATGATGAATTGGGTCGCGGCAGTCGTGCAGACACTCCGGGCGGAGTTCCCCAGCTTCGAGGCGATCCAGGCGTGGGGCGTCTTCAATGTCGCGCAGCATGACAGGGGCATGGGCGCGCGCGCCGAGAACTCAGCCAACGCCCAGCGCCACAGGCAGATGGAGCGCTTGATCGAAGCCTTCAAGGCGGAGGCGACCTCGGACGAGCTGGTGGGGGAGATGGAGTCCGTGCGTCATTTGGTGGCACGCGTGGCCGCGGAGAATTCGATGTGGTTGTGGATGCTTGGACGCGAGCTGCGAAGATGGCCAGCGCTAGTGCAGATATGATCATTCGCTACTGGGCAGCGGGTGGATCCACGAGCGGGGTCGAGCAGTCCTTCGGGAAGGGCTACAACCGCCCCGTCGCCTCCCTGGGCAACGGCGCTTGTTGCGACCGCATGGAGATCATCGAGCTCGGGAAGGGCGACATACCTCAGGTGCTGCGCCGAGCTGCGGGCATCTGGAGCGACACCGGCAGCGGAAACAGGCAGCAGCGAAGCGATGTTGGCGGGCAGCATTTGCGTGCCCGGAACGAGGGCTGCGAGGGCTGCTGGCGGCAGGAACGCAGCTCGACGCAGCGGCGAGCCCAGGTCAACTGAAGTCCGTCCGCGCCGTGGATCCAGATGCGATGTTGCAGCTTGAGACGTGGACAAGGACTATCCGAGGACAGACGGGCGCGTTCCACTACTCGCAAAGTAACTACTCGCAAACGGCCAAGATCCGCCGCGGGGGATTTACGACATGTTATGACACACGCATACATGTTTGTTTTTCTGACGTTTGCGAGTAGGGACTTTGCGAGTAGTGGAACGCGCTCGGCGAGAGGAGGCCTGGGCAGGCAGACTCGGGGCTCTTGAAAATGCATCGGTGGAGGAGCTCGAGCAGGGGAAAGACCGAATTGAGAAGCAGTGCGTGGTGCGCGCCGCCAAACGGCGTCGAGCAGCCGCTGGGTTGATCACCGATTGCAAGATCTATGCCGTCGCGGCCAAGGCCCACGAGTCCACCTTCAGTCAGTCCACCGCTGCGGGGTCATTGGTTTTCGTGGTCAAGGAGGTGCGTGAGCGACCGCGTCGAGGCAGGCACCGGTCCAGTAGTTGTTTACAAGGCAGCGCTGTCATCGCAGAGGCTAGTCTACATGACCGACGCCTTCCTGGATGAATGTCTGCGGATCGCCACTTTGATGGTCGATCGAGCGGGTGGTTACATTTGGCAAGTGGAAGTTCACTAATTTAATGTATTTCACGGCCAGGGCTACCATGATGCCCGCAATTTAATCATGGACATCGCACTTTTCGGTTCGGGTGACACGGCGCCAGTCTGAGTCTTATGGCACGATGAAAACCGCATGAGTCTTAGGGCGCGTTTGGTGCACATGGGCACTAATGGGCACTGATGGGCTCTAATGGGCCCTGATGGGCCCTGATGGGCCCTAATGGGTCAAGGGGGGCATCGGGGACTCGGGCACAGCGCAGGTCAGCGTTAGCCCAGCTCAGCGACCGAAGGGATTGTGGGAGAGTGCACGTAGGGGGCCCCCGTTGGTCCCCGAAATGGCCTGTCGTTTTTTTACGTGGTAGTGTTTGTCACATGATCGTTCGTGTCCTTGTACATATGCACGTATACACAAGTATGTATATATATATATATGTATATGTATATATATTTATATGCATATATATGTATATATACATATATGTATATATATGCGTGTGTGCATATATATGTATATATATATATGTGTAAACACACACCACGTTCAAACGTGTGTGCCCGCTAACATGCGTATGCACATGATTGCCAACAACGGCTAACATATCAACTTGTGCATATACACATATCTATGTGTACGCACGTGTTATATGTGAGCGCGCAACTGTATATATGCATGTATGCACGCACGTGAAACAGCGGGGAACGCCATATCATAGCACTCGCATTGATGCCATACCACAACATAGCGTTCCATATCACCGCATGCCATAGCATAGCATAGCATAGCATAGCGCAGCACATGCAGGGGCTAGGGGCTCGGGGCTCTGGCGCGCCCATGGCCTCCCAGGGGCTAGGGGTTCAGTCTAGGGGTCGGGGGGTTCAAGGGCTTCTGGGGTTTCAGAGGCTCCATGCGCATGTGACTTGGGCTCCAAGAGCTCTGGTGCACCCAGGGCACCCCAACGCCTGCGGGTTCAGTCTAGGGGCTGGCGGCTCCAGGGGCTTTGAGGCTCCAGAGGCCCAAAGTGCTCCAGGGGCCCCAGGAGCCATGGAGCTTGTCTGCTCTACGAGTTTGTCTGAGTCTGCCTGTCGTCGTCTGCGTTTCGGGCCCGAAAACCTAGACATGTCTGAGATGATGACGATTCTGATGATGCTGAACGACTTTGATGATGCAACGTTGATGGATGATTGCGATGTTGGCGACCCTGGTAATGCCGAGGATGTCGAGGCTGTGGATGCGGATGATGGCGGTGGAAACCCGTTCTGGACACGTTTGCCCCGGCGTGCCATGCTCTGACCAGCGTCGAACCCATTGGCACCGTGCGCAAGGGCATGTCATGGACATAAGAGGCGAATCAGGGCGAGGGGGACGAAGGGAGCGAGGAGGACAAGGAGGGGGAGATTGATGAGAAAGGGGAGGATCTCGAGGATAAGACGGATGGTGACGAGGAGGAGGAGGAGGAGGAGGAGGAGGAACAGGACGAGGATGGCGGGTGTGCCTCAACGCCGGGCAATCGAGGCACGGGGGAATCTCATTGAGGAGGGCGAGGACGAGGTCAGAGGAGGATTTAGTACGCTCAGCGCCCGGCGGGAAACGGTCCAGCACGCAAAGTGGGCCGCCGCCGGGCGACAAATGGCAATGCAGCTTCAACTGTCGTCATTGCACTCATCCCCGCCTACTGTAGACTACTGTCGAGTGCCCCCTCCCTCGACGATGTCATGCCGCCTGACCGCCTGGATTCATCCTGAGTGCCGTGGGCTGCGGCGCTACTACTGCAGGGCTGCTCCTGAGACTCGATCACTCCTCATCATCGATGTCCTGGCCAGCCGCAGCAGTGGACTGCTGCTTCATCGCGTTGATCCGATCGAGCAAGGACTGCCGGTCCGCCGCGCCCTTGACAACAGCCGCCGCCGGAGTGCTGCCGCCGATGGGGGCGCTCCCACCAGCCACCGGAGTGACGCAGCTAGCAGATTGAGATCCGCTGGAGTCCTTGGTGGGCGTCGTAGCGTCCTTCCGAGTGTACGTCACTAGGGGCGAGAGGTTCACGTCGTAGAGGTCGAGGTCGTTCGCGTCCATGGCCGCCGAGAGGATCCTGCTGCGCAGCTTGGAATAGAGCAACTCGACGTGGGCGTCAGTGAAGCACACGCCAAGGTAAGGTATCTGCTTGCGCACTGCGTACATTGCCCAATGTCCTGAGCCCGGGGTGAGATCGATGATCGATGTGGCCTGGGGCAGGTGGGCCACCTCCGTGGCCAGAGCTGGAGGCCCTTCGTGCCAGAAGGCGGGCACGAGGTCGGACGCCTTCGTGGCCTTGTCCTTCTTGTGCTCGACGCCGCAATTCCCACCCGGCAGCGGCAGGTTCTCAGTGCTGTACATCGCTTTCTTGTCAGACCAGGGCACTGTCCACGTGGCGTCCTTTGGAGGCGTCCCAAATGGAGTCCGAATGGAGGGGGTCAGAGGATCGCGATACATCGCCGATGCCTGCTTCGCCGATGCATCGACAACGTCGGCGCCGTGAGGATCAAGCCCCACTAAGTCACATCACCGATGCATCGGCGATGCGGCGCGATCATCCACCCCGTTTACGCGGACCCCATGTAGGAGGCATCGGTCCTTGTCGCTCCAGTCTGCCACATCCAGAGGGCCGATGACGTAGCCCCGCGTGGTCGCCTTCGGGCTCAGCTTGCGCGGCCCGATCTTGAAGATGGGCATCTCCGACGACAGCAGGAGGACCGTCTCCATCTGCTCCAGCGTGTGGTTGCCGTGCATCCGATTGAGACGCTTCTCGAGCGACTCCTGGGAGAACATCGCATAACGCTTGGTCACATCGAGCTTCATGGGGCTCAGAGCTTTGACAATCTTATCCTCCCAGTCCTGGCCTTTGGACCCATCGGGGGCGACGATGATATCGTTGGCTGGTAGACTTGGAGTTTTCTCACCCGTCGCCCGCGCATTTACCACCGCGCCGAGATCTTGACTCGAAAAAGGCAAAAAGAAAAAAAAGAAAGACGGGGAGAAAAAAAAGAAAGGGGGAAGGGGGAGGAAAAGGAAAGGGGGCGGGAGGAGGAGGGAAGGGCGAAGGGAGGAAAGGACGGGGAAGGAAGTATGAAGTCACGCACATTCGTGAATAGACAGCCAGCCTTTGGGCGAGAGCGGGACGGAGGGACGCTGAGGGTAAATCCATCCGCGGGTATGCTGTCCCATAGTACCAAGAAAGAAAAAAAAGAAAAGTGGTGCGGACGGCTGGGCCCCAATCGGTTATTTAACCCGGGGGGGGGGGGGGCGGGGGGGGGGGGGGGGGGGGGGGGGGGGGGGGGGCGTCCCGCTCTCGCACAAAGTCTTGGCGTCGATCACGATGGCGACGTAAGACTTGCCCTTGCCCATGGCCTGGCCCGCCTCGGACGCCTTGATCGACTGCGCAATCTCTTCTTGGGACGTGGCGGCCACGAGCTTCACGTTGGACCGCATCCGACGCTCTGCCAGTTGGGCGTGCGACTTGGCCTTGGCGACGTCGGCGCTCTCCATGGTGACCACGCCGTTGTCGGCATCGCATATCAAGGTCTCTACCTGCGACTGGTTCGCGATGAAGGCCAACTTGAGGTTCTGCGCCGCCTGCTCCTCCTCGGCTGCAGTTGGATCGGCTTCGGCGTCGTCGACGATGCGGGCAGCCTTCTTCTCATCATCGTACGTCTTCATCAGCTCTGACATCATGTGGGAAACGTCCGCGGTCTCCAGGAAGTCATCGCAGGTCCTCTTATTGGCCATGGTCTTGATCATCGCCACGTCGTACTCGTAGCCGTAGACAAGGGTTCCCACCATGAGGAGCAGTTGGCCGGCGCTGGGCGGCCAGGAGTGGGGCAGGGTGCGGTCCGTGGCCACCCCGTCGAGATCCCTCTTGGGCTTCTGAATGACACCGAACCTCTTCCTGCATGTCACGACCGACTCGGTGAACTGTTTGAAGGCGGTCTTCACATCGGTATCCCAGTTAAATTGTTCAAGGCGCCTCCACAGGGAGTCGCGCAGCGCACGCTTGAAGACGAAGAGATCGATGATGGACTTGCTGCCCCAGCCCTGGACCTTGCCCTCGAGCAAACGCAGTGGGATCGCCTCCTTGCCGTCAGTGCAATGCCAGTGGTCCCACAGCATCTCGTAGGCCCTAATCATGAGCGTACTCTTCTTGTCGCATTGGCTGCCGACCTCCTTGTACTTCAGCACGCTGTCCATGGGGTTATCGTTGCCCAGCTGATCGAAGCGGAAGCAGATGCCGCTCCCGTCTTTCACGATCAGCACTTGGTTGTGAAGTGTAAAACAATTCTCGACGAACGTAGGCGTCACATTCTCCGAGGACTTGGCCATGGTGAGCTTGCCGTAGTAATCCGCCAATGATTTTTTGTTTTGCTTCTGTCCACCTTCCTCCAACTGCTTCTTCAAGTCGATGATCTCGTACGAGCGGAGGAGGTTGGACGTGCGCATGTTCTCATGCTTAACCGCCAGGTCCTCCCGCCCCTGCACCAAGATCTGGAAGGTGACGTTGAGGGAGTGCCCCGGGTCCACCACCATGAAGCGGACGGGGATTGACTGCAGCATCTCGCGCCATTCACGCATGGCGTCGAGATTGTCAGTTGCCTCGGCGGCCATGCTTATGGCCACGCGCAGGGCGTCCCGCATCTCAGGCATGCAGACCGCCTGGAGTTGACCATGCCGAAGGTGCGGCAGCTCGTCGCCCCGCGTGTGAGCGACGGTGATAGTGTCTGGGTAGCTTTTAGGCGTCTGCCAGAAGTGGCTGCGAAGGTTCTCGATGCGGTTCCAGTGCTTCGGCACGTTCGGCTGCGACTCGTAACGCAAGTTGAGCCAGAAGAAAGGATGCTCGCCACGTAGGGCTGACCAACGTCGAGCTTCTTCTTGGCCTCATCTGGATTGTAGGCATGGGCCCCGCTTTTGTCCGTCGGTTGGTCATGCATGATGCCGTCAAAGGCGGGGTGTCGCATGATCTTGTCGTCGTAGCAGCACCACGCGTGTTGGACCGTCGCGTTCAGGCACCCGGCGAGAGGGTTTACTGAAGACGGACTTGCGCCACCGCCTGCTGGGGCAGCGGAAACCGTGGCGGCGCGCTTGGGAACTTTGGGCGGTCTAGCGGGAGCATCGTGGGCGCGCTTGCCCATGGCGCTTGCCCAGTTGAAAAGGTGTGGTGTGAAATCCTCACTCGGCGGCGTCGAGTCTCGAGCCCAAATGGCTACTAATGAGCATGATGGAGGAGGAGCTGCGCTGACACGCGCTGCCCCACTGACGCGCGCCGAAGCCGCGCAGGGCAAAACAATGCCCGTGGAGGCTATGGGGCCATCATGAGGCCCCCGAGACAATCCAAAGAGGGCCCAAGGGCCCGAGAAGCGTCCTAAGAAAGCCCGACAAGCCCCAAGAGGGCCCAATACAATCCAAAGATGAAGTGGAGAGGCCCGAAAAGAAGGAGGAGAGCTGAAAGAAGAGAGAGGAGGAGGGGGGAGGGAGAGAGAGGGAGGGGGGGGAGGAGGAGGAGGGCCGGTAGAAGCGCCCCCCCCCCCCTCCCCCACCCCCCCACCCCCCCCCCCCCCCCCCCCCCCCCCCCACCCCCCCCCCCCCCCCCCCCCCCCCCCCCCCTTCCCCCCCCCCCCCCCCCCCCCCCCACCCCCCACCCCCAACCCCCCCCCCCCCCCCCCCCCCCCCCCCCCCCACCCCCCCCCCCTCTGCGTGGGAGGAAGAGCCCCAAGACGACCCAAAAGGGCCCACGAAAAAAAAAAGAGGACCCGAGAAGCGCCCCAAGTGGCCCCCAAGAACTCCCTAAGAGAGCCCGAGCAGCGCCCAGGACGGCCAAATAACAATCCAAGAGGGCCCCAGGGGAGGTGAATAACTCCGCGCGGCACACATCCTCTGGGGCCATATGGAGGAAGATCTGGGGGAAGATATTGGGAAGATCTGGGGGGGGGGATCTGGGGGGAGATCTGGAAGAAGCATTGGGGGGAGGAAGATCTGGGGGGGGGGAGATCTGGGGGAAGATATGGGAAAACCTAACGGGAATATGCTATGTGTTGTAGTTGTATAGTGTGTAACATATGGCAGACGATTAATGTTCATGCGCTAATGGCAAATATTGCGTAATATATGATATATAATATATCATGATGTATGTTGTAGATGCACACTGTATCTTATAATATATCACAGATGATTGATGATCATGCGTTAATGTCATAAGCTACATACTATGCGATATACTACGCCATATTCCCTACATAGATTCTGCCTAGAAGGGTGCTTACTCTCGATATTGAAAAGGCCGGGCAGGGGAACGCGCCCTGGGCGGTTCCCCCGGCATCCGCCCCGCGGTCCCCCCCCAGCTACGTCCCCTTAGCTTGGCGTTGCGTATATCATCTTAGCGTAGCGTAGTTCATCTTGGAATACCTTAACTTCATATTATGGCTCAGGTGTATCTTAGCTTAGCGTACCTTCATCGTAGCGTCGCTGAGCTTTAGCATAGCAGAGCACAGCATATCTTAGCCTAGCGCAGCATAGCATAGCATAGTGCGGCATGAGCATAACACAGCATAGCATAACATAGCCAAACATAGCATAGCATAGTATAGCATAGCGCAGCATAACATATCATAGCACATCCTAGTAGAGCATAGCGCAACATAGCATGGCATAGCATAGCGTACCATATCACAGCGCACCATGACATAGCATAGCTTAGCATTGCATATCATAGCATAGCACAGAACAGCACAACATAGCATAGCGAAGCATAGCATGGCATAGCATAGCCTAGCCTAGCCTAGCAACTAATGGTGCGTCCATAGGGGCTCCAACTTCCAGGTAGGGTCGCAATGGGGTAATGTCGTAGATGATACAGTCTACCCGTGATGGCTTCAAGAGGCACAGCACTGAGCGCGCGGCGCGTGTGCTATCGGCACGGGCACTTCCCCGTCGGTTGCGAAAAGATGCCGCGGTGAATTTTGCCGGGGACCATTGGGGACCATCGGGGACTGAAATAACAGGGGTGCGCATGCGCACCTCTGTTATTTCAGCGCCGGGCGCCCAGCCCCGAAATAACAGGGGTGCGCATGCGCAAATCGACTGAAATAACAGATTTGCGCATGCGCAAATCAAGGAAAAGTTGTCTTTTGCGCACGCGCACCTCTGTTATTTCAGCGCCGGGCGCCCAGCACTGAAATAACAGGGGTGCGCACGCCCACCCCTGGTATTTCAGTCGCCGAGTTGGAGTTGTGACTTTAAGGATTTTCGATGTTCACCATTATTTTCGCCCCCGGTGCATTTTGAGGATTCGCTCTTCGAAACTATCGCGCGCATCATTCGCATGATCATCGCATACCTCCTCTCCATTGCCCTACATGTCGTTCTAGACGGCGAGGCCTTAGGTTGCATTATCTTGCATGCGGTGCATGCGGCAGTACCGTCATTATCCTACCTCCTACATGTTCATATCACACATGTCGTTCGCGTAACCAGCAAGATGTTGCAGCGACGACGACGCCGAGGCGACGACGGCGTCGAGCCCCCCCCCCACTACGGAGGTTAAGGAGGAGGAGAAGGAGGACGCGGCCGGAGCTCTCGACCCCACCATTCCTCGAGCCGGGTCGATCCGCGCGGGCTCCACGGCCCACGGCTGGACGAGGAGGTTATTTTCAGCCCGCGGTGCAGCGATGCTCCTTCCCAGTTGCGCGGAGCCCACAAACCCAACATCACGCGCCAACAACCCCGATGGCGCTCTTGGCGCAGTAAGGGTGGCACGCACAGTGCCCAGAACGCCGACGCACCAGCTAGGGCCCACGCAGGGCTGCCAAATGTAAATTTTACAAGCGGATACTGACTGGCCTAGATTAGACATCATCAGCGCGCCCGAGCGCGCACAAGCATTTCCTGAAAAGGTCCCTCATCACGGTGACCGTGTAAGCATTGCCGATCATCTCGCGGAGCCGCGAGCGATTGACATCGGGCGGCACGACGATTGCATGCGGGTCAAAGCCCTGGCACTTCATCAGCTCGTGCTCGCGGATCAAGCCGCCGCGGTTCGTGGTGAACCACTGGAGCTCCCTGGCGCGCTTCTTGGTGATCGTCGGCATCTCGTCGAGGTAACGGAAATGCCGAAGGATGGGCCCTTGCCGACGTCGATCACCCACGGCTCAGCATCGGTATCGGCGTCGGGGTGCGTCGTCTTGATCTTCTCGAGGCCAGCGACTAGATTGCGCAACTGGTAAGGCTTCAACTCCAACAAGGATGCATGTTTCTGCCTCTCCGTGGGCGAGTCCTGGTCAAGGATGGAAGTGAGGGACACCGTCTGGCTACCAGTTGGCCAACTCCACTCAGCGCGCTGCCGATCCCGACGAATCCCCACGATGTAGAGGCGCCGCCTTGCGGCGGGCACGCCAAAGTCCCTGGAGTTCAAGATGTGCCAGTGAATATTGTAGATGCCGTCCGCGCACTCGTAGAGGATGCGCATGGTCACATCGAACTGCTTCTTGAACTTCTTGTCGGTCGCGAACTCGGGGACATTCTCGAGGGCGAAGATGTCTGGGACCAGCTTGCCAAAGGTGAGCGCCACGTAGAAGACCACGAGCCCTGCGCCAGAGGGGTCATCCACGCCCTGGCGGTTGCCCTGCTTGGAATATGTCGGGCATGGGAAGCCAGCAGTATAGATAGTGACTCTGCCCACGAACATCTCCAGTTGTTGAGGGTCGCGTGCAACCACATCGTCGAAGACTGTGTTGACGCGCGGCTGGGTAGCCATCAAGATTCGCATGTACACTGGATCCACCTCGGAGGCGAAGTGGCGCTTGAAGGGGGTGATGTGCCGAAGGGCAAAAGCGCCAGCGTCGAGGCCACTACAGTCGCTGGCGTAGCCGATGGGCCCAGTCGGCGGCGGCCCCGGCAGCAGCGGCTTCAGCGCCATGAAACGGGCCGCCGCGGCCTTGGCGGATGGCTTAGCCTTCGGCTTCGCCTTCGCGGTCGCCACCCGCTTCGCCTTCGGCCGAGCCCTCGCTGCTGACGAGGCCGCTCTCGCCGCAGGGCGCTTGCGGACAGAAGGGCCGCTCGCAGAGGCATTGGCGGAGGCGGTGGACTGCGGCGCTTCCTCTGGCAGCACTACTGCCCACATCGCCGTCGCTGGCGGTGACGCCTGCGGCGCGCGAACGGGCTGGGGCCTAAATTGGCTGTTGCGGTAGTGGTCAGCGGAGGGGGCCGGGGCGACATCCATGTTCTCGGGCGCGCATGGCCCGCCTCGCGCCCTCGGGGGCAGTCTCGGGAACTGGGGGGGCCGCGGGGCGGATGCCGGGGGGCCCGCACGGGGCGCGTTCCACTGAGACTGAGTGCCCGGCCCCTTTAAAATGGAAAGTAAGAGCCCTTCTAGGCAGAGCCTGGGCAGGGAATATGAGCGAGGGGGTGGGCGCGGGATGGGTCGCGGGTGGGTCGCGGGTGGGTCGCGGGCTTGGGATATACATGTTGCGCCGCACGCGCGCATATAATTTGCACTAAATTGTTTGTAGTAGTTGTTGTTGTTGATGTTGTTGATGCCGTTGCAACCTGTCGGTGGTGCTTTGAGCCAGGATGTTCAGCGCGATTGACCCCGCCTCGCAGGGCTCTTATCAGACAGTCCTCCCAATATGGCGCCAGACTTTCGCGGCGGAGCAGTGGCGACGAGAGCGGGCCCGCAGCCTTGATTCTACGGCGTGTCCGGAGCATGACGATGTCGATGATGGCGGCGGGGGTGACGGGGAGGAGGAGAGGTGGAGGAGGGGGAGGAGGAGAAGGAGGAGGAGGAGGGGGGGAGGAGGAGGGGGAGGCAGAGGAGGAGGATGAAAAGGAGTAGGAGGGGGAAGAGGATTGCTCAGCGGCCACATGCACCCATCGCCGATTGATCCTCATCACGGCGTGAAATGAAATCGAGCATCGCGGCAGCGTCGAATGCCTCCCTGACGCCTGGGCACACCTCAGCGCCTGATTCAGCCGAGCCTAAAAGGGCTATGGCAATTGTGGGCGTCTTGGCCGCCCTGGCCGTGATATGCACCAGGTCGCTGGTGAACTTCCACTTGCTCACAGCGCGGCTACCCGCGCGATCGACTATCAGAGCGGCGAGCCGGGGGCACTCCGCTAAGAAGGCGTCGGACATGTAGACAATCCTATGCGAGGACAGCGCTGCTCTGCACACCACTACTGGACCGGCGCCCGCCACCACGCGCTCCCACGTGCAGACCGCGCCACCGATCAACGCAGCATTCCAGAGCACTGACTTCGCAGGCTGCTGAACCTCCTTGACCACGAATATGGATGCCTCCGAAGCGGTGGTCCGAGTGAAGTTGGCCTCGCGGGCCTTGGCTGCGACGACTGCCGCTGTCACCGGCGCGTCAGGAGCGACATAGATGTTGCTATCTGCAATCGTGATGTCGGGCGGTCCAGCCGCCGCGCGACGCCGTTTTAAGGCGCGCCCGATGTATTGCTTGTCGTTGGTGACCTTTTTCTCCATCAACGCAACCACCTTCTGAAGCTCACCCACCGAGGCGTTCTCTAGAGCTCCGAGTCTGCCTGCCCAGGCCTCCTCGGAAAGTCGTTGACACTTCTTGGCGTGGACGAAAACCATCTCCTTGGATTGCTCATCTGTCCACGTCTCAGGCTGCAGCATCGCACCTGGATCCACGGCGTGGACGGACTTCAGCATGCCCGGGCTCGCCGCAGCGTCGAGCTGACGCTTCTTGTTTTGCCGCCAGCCGCCCTCGCAACCCTCGTGTCGGGCCTGCAAATGTCGCCCGCCAGCGTCGCTTCGCAGCTGCCTGTTTCCACTGCCGGACGCTCGGGGCCGCCCGAAGATGTCGCTCCAGATGTCCGTGGCCATCTGCAGCACTTGAGGTAGGTCGCTCTTCTCGAGTTCGACGATCTCCATGCGGTCGCAGCAGGCGTCATTGCCCAGGGATGCTACGCGGTGGTTGTAGCCCTTCCCGAAGGACTGCTCAACCCCGCTCGTCGACCCGCCCGCTGCCCAGTAGCGAACGATCACCTGCATGAGCTTTGATGGAGGAGAAAGCGAAGTATCGAGGACGCCACCGCGTTTGTTCGCCGTGGCCATCTCCGCAGCGTGCATCCAAGCATCCCGCGATGACAGCGACTGCTCCGCGGCCACGCGCGTCACCAAATGGCGCACAGACTCCATCTGCCCCACCAGTTCGTCTGCCGTCGCCTCGATCCCGAAGGCCTCGATCAAGCGCTCCATCTGCTTGTGGCGCTGCACGTTCGCCGAGCCCTCGGTGTGCGCGCCCATATCCCTGTCGTGCTGCACGACGTTGAAGACGCCCCAAGCCTGAATCGTCTCGAAGCTGGGGAACTCTGCCTTGAGCGTATCCACGACACTCGCGACCCAATTGATCATCCGTTTGAGGCATCGTTCTTGCACCGCTGGGGCCACGCCGTTTGGACAGCCAAGTACATGTACGCCATTGCCAGGCAGTTTGATGGGGTGCTTCAGCAGCTTCAGCATGTGCCCAGTGAAAGTGTAGTCGGTCTGCACGGCCATGGCCGGGTGGCCGCCGGCCCCAAAGAGCGTACTCACGCGGTCGACGAAGGCGCTCAAGTTGAAGGACAGGTCGTCGGCCGGGAACCCCTCGTAGTCCAGGAGCCTCATCAACTGATAGTGTTCCCCCCCCGCGTCCGCAAGCATTGCAAGTTGTAATGCCTTCTCCGAGTCCAGTTCATTCATGAAGTTGGTGACAGCCTTAGCTTCTGCACTTGAGTTCGGACGTGTCTTTTCCACTTGGACCAAGGTGGCAATGACAGCTGGAAAGTACAACACGCTTCTTGCCAAGGGCAGCTGGCCGCTTTCGAAACGGTGACCAGCATACCGCAAATCTTTCACGGCATTGCTCGGCTTCGCCACGGCCCTGAGGTGCGGCTCGATGGCGGAAATATTCTTCTGGAACCACGCGCTGAATTGCTCCGAGTACTGAATCAGCTTTGTTGGAGACTTCTCGTCTGTGACGAACAGCGAGTGGACTTGGTGCAGGATGGGTCCGCCTTCCACAGGCGACTCAGTAGTCGACGCGAAGCGTGAGGCTTGTCTCGAAGGACTACGCGGAGGCACGGTAGCACCTTGGCCACCTCCCCGCGGACGGTCTGCCCTGCTAGCATCATCCCCGCGCGGATCTCGTCGGCGGCCGCGTCGCTGACGAAAACCTCCACTGACTTCTGGACCCGCTGCAGCAGGACAGGGTCGGGCGCCATCGCTGCAGCGGCGGGGGCGCCTGGCGCGCCCCACCTGCAGGCGCAGAACCGCTTGATCACGGCCAGGGTAGCGTCCTGGATAGCCATGGCGTCGAGGCCGAAATCCGCAGCGAGATCGATTGTACCGAGATGACCATGGCAACGACGTAGAGGCTGCAGACTTGCGGCGATAAAACGCACCGCCAGCTTTCCCTTGCGTGCGTCCTGGAATATAGTGGCTGACACCGTCCCTTTCGCATCCAGAAACAACCCTCGTTTACGTTCACGCCAAGCTTCTGCAACGCACCAAGCAATCTGCCGAGATTTGTTTCTACCGGCAACGCCTGGCACGCCATCTCTACCTAGTGGGTCCAACCTGAGGTGGGCAACGACCTTGGCCATGTCGGTCGTTGGCGGCGCAGTGCCATCATCGTCTGGAGCCCGGAGACATCGGATGCCACCCTCGGCCATCATGAGCTTGACTGCGGCCATATGTGCAATCGACCCCTCGTGCTTCTTCAATGCGCGAGGCTTCAGCTGTTCACGAGTGGTGAGTCGAATGTCCTTGCATGATGAGGAATGGCCGCTCTTTGCACCGGAAGCTGAACATATGGCACAGCCGACTGCCCAAGGCTGATCAGACACAGTGAGCCACGTGACGCCAGGTACAATGGTGAATTGGGCTTCCAGCTCAGCCTGGCGCTGCGAGAACCAACATCGGCAACAGTCAACAGCTTGACACCCCCCGCAAGCTGCACTCCCCGCCTTCCCCGACATCGAGCCATCTCCCGAATCGGAGCTGAACCCAAATGACTACTGAGGAGGACGAGGCGGATGAGGAAACTGGCATGTGTAGCACCCCGCAATTGCGGATGAGAAAGAGGGCGCGGGCGCGGGGTGGGTCGCGGGTGGGTCGCGGGGTGGGTCGCGGGTGGGTCGCGGGTGGGTCGCGGGTGGGTCGCGGGCGGGTCGTGGGTTGGGTCACGGGTGGGTCGCGGATGGGACGCGGGGTGGGCCCCAATCATAGCCAAGCGTAGCATAGCATAGCGTAACATAGCATAGCACAGCATCGCATCGCATCGCGTATCATATCATAGCATAGCGCAGCTTAGCATACCATAGCATAGCACAGCATAGCTTAGCGAAACACAACGCGTCATGACATAGTATAACTGAGCATCGCATGGCACAGCATATCATATAATATCATAGCACATCATAACATATCATAGCACGGCATAGCATGGCATATCATATCATAACATAGCATAGCAACTAATGCTGCTTTCCTAGGGGCTCCAACTTCTAGGTAGGGTCGCACTGGGGTAAGTATTCGTCTTCGGTCGTAACCCCTTTGGGAGTGTGTCCAGGATGCGGTGGTTTGTTTTTTTTTTTGCGTGCTCTGATTGGTGGGCTGTTCTGCCCCCTGATTGATGGGCTGTTCTGGTACCTGGGGGCCGCTGTTCACTGTTCCCAACCATCCTGCGGTGTTGGGTCCTCGCTCCTCCCCCCTCCTCCCATACCCCCCCTCCGCCCTCAGTCATCTTCATTACCATCATCCATCACTATCATCACCATCACCAGCATCATCATTTTCACCATCATCAGAAGTACCATCATCCACATCATTCGTCCTCGTCATCACTACATTACCATATCATACGTAACAATCGTCACCAGCATCATAAGTCGCAGTCGCCATCGCTGTCGCCACCATCACCATCATCATCGTCGCCATCATCATCAGCATCGTCACCATCGTCCTCATCACCACCATCGTCGTCATCAGCATGTCCATCATCATCCTCATCATCATCATCCTCGTGATGGTCATCGGCATCATCATCATCGTCATCATCATCGTCACCATCATCACCATCATCATCATCAACAGACTGGTCGTCATCATCAACACCATCAACATCACCACCAACATCGCCATCATCATCGCAGCTACCGCCAGCATCATCGGCACGCAAGCACACACACACACCTCACACGTTTCGATGCCCCATAGGGAGCTTCACCTAAGGTCTCAGTGGCGCCGTCCGCATGGCGGCGCCGCCCCATGCCGGCACACCCCTCACGCGCCTCGTGGTCCAATAGGGAGCTCCACCCAAGGTCCCAGTGGCGCCGTCCACATGGCGGCCAGAATATGCTCGGCCCAGCGCTGGCCATCTCACGGTCACGAGGATGAGGATACAGACGGGCGGCCCATGCGCCCATCTATCCGTCGTGTAGCCGTTTTGGCTCCGACGCAAGTTTCGATTCCAGTCTCATCAGCTGGCCAACGATGTCAGATACGCAGCCTGAGTTTCCTCAGGACACTCATGTGCCCTCCCTCAACTGGGATGGCGATCAATGCTCTCAAGGACCTCTCGGCAGCGTTCAACCTTCTAAGAAGAGCTTGAACGACGACGGTGATGGGCATATTTCGTTGAAAAGCGGCAGCGTTGACTTGACCTCGGTTGATGACAGCCCCAGCCCTTGCGCCACTGCCAGCGCTACCATTTCCAGCGCAGGCGGTGCCAGTGCTACCAGTGCCAATGCTTCGCAAGTGGCAGCGCAGTCAGTCGCAGGAGTGGCCACTCCGCAGCCTACTTGGCTGCACAAGCGGTCGAAGTATCATGGCCTGCCAGATCAGACGATGGTGCCCATGCACGAGGACATGCTTGGCCGCTCGGATCCTCGACCGCCAAAGCCATCCAGCGCGCCGCCAGCTACGCCGACGCCAATGGCGAAGCCACCAGCTACGCCGACGCCAGTGGCACAGCCGACCCCAGCTACGCCGACGCCAGCAGATCCGCCCTCAGCTACGCCGACGCCAGTGGCGAGGCCGACTCCAGCTACGCCGACGCCATCGGAGCCGCCTACAGCTACGCCGACGCCAGTGGCGAAGCCGACCCCAGCAACGCCGACGCCATCGGAGCCGCCTACAGCTACGCCGACGCCGACGGCGGCGCCGCCTACAGCTGCGCCGGCAGAGGTTGCGAAGCGGCGTCGGACGCTCGGCAGCCCAGTGGACCAGGAGAAGAAGATACAGTCCCAGTGGACGTGGACGACGCACAAGGACATCCCGCCGACGCTCCTGCCGTTCTACCAGGAGGCCAGCTCCTGGCGCCGCCTCAACGGAGAATGCACTCCGACGTTCTACGAGGTTAAGTTCACGATGAAGGCGTTTCGTGATGAGAAAGATTTGAATGGAGTTTGAGTTGAGTGGTAGATTTGAATGGAGTTTGAGTTTTGAGTGGCGCAGCTGGCTGGTCGCCAGAATGAGGGACACTCGTTTACAATTTGACTCTATTTGCTGCGTTCCAGACGCCAACATTCGCCTGGGGGTGAATATGGAAACGATCATCGTCATCCTTCCTCCTGAGGGTCCTCAGTGTCGTGCTCTTCCTCCTCCTTCTCCCCCTCCTCCTCCTCCTCTTCCGCTTCCTTTTCCTTGCCTTGCGTGCGTTGTGGCATTACAAAGACACGATTTCACACCATGAGCCACCGAAAAAATTAGCAAGCGCACCGCTCTGATTATCAGAGCTTTCACCGAGCCATTGCCCGTCGCAGCGCTGGGCGATAGTTTACAGTCGTGGCCTCGGCACCA